TGTTTTCAGTCAGAAGCCTGATGTCATTTTTATCTTTATCTCTATTCCTCTGTATATAATCTATCTTTTTTTCTTCCCCCAAGATGGAGTCTCACTCTGTCTCCCAGGCTAGGGTGCAGTGGTGCGATCTCGGCTCACTGCCACCTCTGCCTCCCGAGTTCAAGCAATTCTCTTGCCTTGGCCTCCTGAGTAGCTGGGATCATAGGCACCCACCACTATGCCCAGCTAATTTTTGTATTTTTCGTAGAGAAGGGGTTTCGCCATGTTGGCCAGGCTGGTCTCAAACTCCTGACCTCAAGTGATCCGCCCACCTCAGCCTCCCAAAGTGTTGGGATTACAGGCTTGAGCCACCGTGCTCAGTCCACAATCTATCTTTTTTCCTCTGGTTTCTCTTTATCATTGTTTGTTTGTTTAGAGAAAGGATCTTGCTCTGTCACCCAGGCTGGAGTGCTTTGGCGCAATCACGGCTCACTGCAGCCTTGACCTCCCAGGCTCAAGCAGTACCCCCACCTCAGCCTCCTGAGCAGCTGCAACTACAGGCGCTTGCCATCACACCTGGCTAATTTTTGTATTTTTTGTAGAGACAGGGTCTTGCCATGTTTCCCATGCTGGTCTCAAACTCCTGGGCTCAAGCGATCCTCTCACCTTGGCCTCCCAAAGTGTTAGGATTACAGGTGTGAGCCACTGCATCTGGCCTATCATTGATTTTAAATAATTCTGGCCAGGTGCAGTGGCTCGTGCCTATAATTCCAAGACTTTCGGAGGCCAAAGCAAGTGGGTCACTTGAGCCCAGGAGTTTAGACCAGCCTGGACAACATGGCAAAACCCTGTCTCTACAAAAAATACAAAAATTAGCCAGGTGTGATGGCAAGCACCTGTAGTTGCAGCTGCTGAGGAGGCCGAGTGGGAGGACCGCTTGAGCCTGGGAGGTCAAGGTTGCAGTGAGCTGTGATCACACCACTGTACTCCAGCCTGGGTGACAGAATGAGACTCTGTCTCAAAAAAAAAGAAAATAAATAAATAATTTTATTATGATGTGTCTTGTAGTTTTCCTTCATGTTTCTTGTACTGTGGTTCTCCGAGCTTCGTGGATCTTTTGATGTAATTTTGAAAATTATCATTTATTATATTTTCAAAATCCACCCTCCCCTTTATTTTGAGGGCTTCATTTCCACATATTTAGGCCCCTCAGTTTTTCATTTTATATCTTTCTGAGACCGTGCCTTCAAGTTCACAAAGCTTTTTCTCTTTAGCCCCTGAACTACTGTTATTCCCATGTAGGGTATTTTTTTTTTTAAATAAATAATTTTAACAAACCTTTGTAGATTTGGTCTTTTTATATTTTCCTTTTATTTTTTTGAGACAGAGTCTCACTCTGTCACCAGACTGGAGTGCAGTGGTGCAATCTCGGCTCACTGCAACCTCTTGCCTCCTGGGTTCAAGTGATTCTCCTGCTTTAGCCTCCCAAGTAGCTGGGATTACAGGGGCGTGTGCCACCACGCCCAGCTAGTTTTTGTATTTTTAGTAGAGACAGGGTTTCACCATGTTGGCCAGGATGGTCTCGATCTCTTGACCTCATGATCCACCCACCTTGGCCTCCCGTAAGTGCTGGGATTACAGGCGTGAGCCACCGCACCCGGCCGGATGTTTTTATATTTTGTATGTCTTTGCTTAACAGGCTCATGCTTTCCTGCACCTTCTTGCACACATGGAATATAGTTACAATGAGTGGCTTTAATGTCTCTACCAATATCATCCTATGTCATTTCTGGGTTTGTTTAGACTTTTTGATTTTGATTTTTTAATTTTTTATTTTTTTGAGACAAAGTCTCACTCTGTCACTGAGGCTGGAGTGCAGTGGTGTGATCTCAGCTCACTGCAACCTCCGCCCCCTGTGTTGAAGTGATTTTCCTGCCTCGGCCTCCCAAGTAGCTGGAATTACAGGTGTGCTCCACCATGCCCGGCTAATTTTTGTATTTTTAGTAGAGACAGGGTTTCACCATGTTGGCCAGGCTGGTTTCAAACTCCTGACCTCAGCTGACACCGATCTCAGCCTCACAAAGTTCTGGGATTACAGATGTGAGCTACCAGATTTGGCTGATTTTTTTTTTTTGCTGATCATGAGTCATGTTTTTCTGTTTCTTTGCATATCTGGTAATATTTTATTGGATACTAGTAGTGTGGAATTTACCATGTTGTATACTGGATATTTTTAATTCCTTTATATATTTTTTATTTTGTTCTGGGACAGTTACTTGTTGTAGTTTGACGTTCTTGAGCAGGATTTAGCAAACTACTACCTGTGGCCAACTCTGGCCATGCCTTTTCACTTGGCTGTGTTTGCTTTTGTGGTATCACTACAGAGTAGTTGTGACTGAGAGACTTTATGGCCTGCCAAGCTCAAAATATTTATTATCTGATCCTTTACAGAGAGTTTGCTGACCCTGCTTTTGAAGGCTTGTCTTTAAGCTTTTTAGGCAGGACTGAGCAACCTTTCGTGGTTCTAGGGCTAACTTTTCCTCCCTACTGAGGCAGTGCTCTTCAGAGTACTTGAGTACTTTGTATTCTGAGGCATTTCCACGTTGGCTTGTTGGGAGACAAACCATTCTGGACCTGTGTGTGTTTTCCAGTGATGATTCCACCTGCTTCTGGCCAGTGGTTCTTTCCCTCGCCTTGGGGAGTTTCTGCACATGCGTGTGCTGCTCAGTACTCAGCCGAAGACTCGAGGGGAATCGTCAGCTAGTCTTGGAGCGTTTTTTCTCTCTCGGTGTACAGCTTTCTGCTCTCCTGTCCTCCCTGATTATTCCCCCAGTACTCTTCCTGTGAATTCTGGCCGCCTAGTCTCCTGGAGTGCTCAGCTCTGTCTCATCAGTTCCTCAGGCTGTGTGTCGGTTCCCCATCCCTGTGCCGCCGGCTCTCCGCAGGCAGGAAGCTGGGCAGCCATACCACTCACCTCTGTTCCCTTCCCTCGGGGTTCACTGTTTTGGGCTGCTAGTTGTCCGATATCTTAAAACTGCTGTTTCCATATATTTTGTCTTTTTAAAACTTCTTTTGAAGGCCAGAATGGTAAATCTGGTCTCTCTTACTCCATCATAACTGTCTGTGGAAGCTGTCAACATTTTTTTCTTTTAGAGACAGAGCCTCACTCTGTTGCTTAGGCTAGAGTGTGGTGGCGTCATCATAGCTCACTGCAGCCTTGAACTCCTGGGCTCAAGTGATCCTCCTGCCTCTGCCTCCTAAGTAGCTGGGACTACAGGCCTGTGCCACCACACCTGGCTAATTTTTAAAATTTTTTGTAGAGATGGAGTCTCAACTATGTTGCCCAGACTGCTCTTGAGCTCCTGGTCCCAAGTGATCCTCCTGCCTCAGGCTCCCAAAGCGCTGGGATTTCAGGCATGAGCCACTGTTCCTGGCCTGTTCAACATTGTTAGTACTTAGTGATGAAAGGTAATAGTAGTAAATTCAGTGTCTCTGTTGCCGAAGTGTTTATTGGTGCTTTCCCTTGCATTTCATGTCATAGGGCCCTTTCTTTTACTGGCATTCTCACTTTGAATTGCTTAGAAGTTTCTTCTAATATCCCTCTATCTCTTTTTTCTTTCTAGTTTTAGATAAAGCTGTCAAAAGAACAGTTATCGTAGAAATAGAAACATTTAAATTACTGGCACCATAGTTTATTCTTGCTGCAGCCATTCAGAATATCTATTTGTCACTGCCTTGGGTGCTTTGAAGTGAAACTGTGATTAGATATAAAAAATTTAAAACTCACTTTGATTACATGTTAAGTTCACAGTTTTTACGTTGCAGTTCCTGAATTTAGTTCCATCAAAACTGTATGACTAGGCCAGGCGTGATGGCTGATGCCTGTAATCCCAGCACTTTGGGAGGCCGAGGCAGGCGGATCACCTGAGGTCAGGAGTTTGAGACCAGCCTGGCCAACATGGTGAAACTCTGTCTCTACTAAAAATAGAAAAATTAGCTGGATATGGTGGTGCGCGCCTGTAGTCCCAGCTACTTGGGAGGCCCAGGCAGGAGAATTGCTTAAACCTGAGAGGTGGAGGCTGCAGTGAGCCAAGATTGTGCCACTGCACTCTAGTCTGGGTGACTCCATCTCCCATCTCAAAAAGAAAGAAAAAAAAATGATATGACTCTTCCCAAACTATAAGGATTGTTTAGTGCACTATTTATTTTCACCTGGTTAGTTTTAGACATTTCTGACTCTCCACGGTCCTCAATCATATTATTTATTTTTCTTTTGTTTTCTTACTCTGATATCATAGCTGGCATCACATATACAAAACCAGCAGTTTTTAAACATACTGACCATGATTATTTTCTCTCTTCAATAATCTCTAATAAAATTTAAAACGAAAGAAAAAAGAAATGGTGACTTTGAAATAGGATATAATGGTGACTTGGAAGAAATCAAATGGGATATTCAGTGTAGTCTGTTTTAAGGCTTTGAATATTGTCTTGCTGTTTTGGAGATGAGCTTATAACTCCATCAGTACTGCTAAGAACAGAGGAGCTTTGAGAAACATCTTTTCTTTTAGGAGGTGATTTTTCTTGCTAAGTATGTCATAAGAACTTGAAGAATGATCTTAATTTCTCATTTTAAAATGACTGTCAAGTGAGCCAGACTGTTTAACAGATAAAAGTTAGAACACATGGATTTGTCAATAAATTTAAACTTGATAGTAGTTGTCATTACTACTAAGTTGTTTGAGTAATATATTATGTTCACATTTTAAACGGATATTGATCTTCATTCAGTGACTAAATTGGAGCGTCTCAATTCTTATGAAATTGCTGATGCTTTTCCTCTTTGCAGGTATGCAGCCAGACATAAATTCTAGCCAACATTCCACAGATTTCTTCCTTTCTTCTTTATGCAGTACTCTTTAGGAAGTAAGAATACTTTTGGATGCTAAAAATAGCAAAACATGTTGTGTTTACAAAATAAATTTAAAACGTATTTCTTTGTGTTTTATTTTTTCTTGAAGGTACTTGAAGTTTATTGAGTTGCCCTTGACTCAGAGAAAGTTTTGTCAAAGATGTCAGCAGTTGCTGTTACCAGATGACTGGGGGCAACATAGTGAGCATCAGGTTCTGGGTGACGTGTCCATCACCCAGTTAAGAAGGCCCAGTCAACTCCTTTATCCACTGGAAAACAAGAAGACAAATGCCCAGTATCTGTTTGCTGATCGGAGCTGTCAGTTCTTGGTAGACTTACTTTCTGCCCTTGGATTCAGAAGAGTACTGTGTGTTGGAACACCAAGGTATGTTATATGATTTTTTTAAAGAATTATCTTCTCACTGCGATTGAAACTGTATGAAGATTTTATTAAGTAGTTATGTGCTCTATGCAAGGTATAGCATGAAGCATGAGTATTTAAAATGTAAAGCACGGTCCCTCTTTTAAGGAGTTTGCAACCTGTATTCCATTTGAGAAAACTCTTCATAGATTTCTTTCTGATACATGGGAGAAGATTCTTTCTGATTTAACTCCTAAATTGTTTATAATTTAGACCTCTCTGTTTCAGATAAGTTCTGCTCTTAAAAGAATGTTTGCAAAATTGAAACCTTGATTATACCTGCGAAATTCTCTTCAGTGTTTCATTGAAATATCATAAATACCAGAAAAACATTGATGGTTTTGTTGTTTGTTTGCTTATTATCTATGACATTTGTAATTTCTTATTACATTTGCTTTCATTAATTGCTTTAGGTTGCATGAGCTGATCAGGTTGACAGCATCAGGTGACAAGAAGTCTAACATTAAAAGCCTTTTATTGGATATTGATTTTCGGTAGGTTTACAAAATACAGTATTTCCTTTCATTGTCTCCTGTTTCTTTTTAATGCTTTTCTGTTTTTAATTGTTTATACTCTGTTACAACTCTTTACATTTGGAAGTAGTAATTTGTTATGAGGAAACTTTTTAGTCAAATAAATTCAACATGTAATCTGTATTTCAAACAGGGAGGCAGTCGATTTCTCATTTTGCTGGCGTGCTTCCTAGATTTTCTCTATGAATGTGTCTAGTTTGTCTTTGGCTTATAATCTAGAGATGAATCCCTATTGAGTGAGGTTTCTTCTCATGTGTTATGTTCCAAGATAATTCTAAACTGCTTCATACTTAATCAGACTTCCAGGATTTTGTTTCATTAGATCTTTGAAGTGTGGGAACTCAGATATTTCTTTTAGTATATTTTAGTGGATGTTGTACATGTTGTCTTTTATTGAACATAGCCTGGAGTGAAGGGAGTGCTAAGTAGGGGATAGACAGGTGCCAAAGCAGAGGATTAGCCATCAGATAGACTTTGTGAGAGGGTTGGCATTAAATGGCATCTGATGATTTCTGAGTTGACACAGAGGGAGGAACAGGTCTTGAATCTCCCCTCTGGTGGTAATTTGGAAGATACAAACCTTTAACTTATAACATGGATGGTAAATACATCGTCCACTGTGTCTATAATTCTCTAGATTCTCAGTTTCTGTAATTGTTTAATACCAGGAGTTCATGTTGAATTTATAAGATACAATGTTCTTAGTATTTTTAATGTGTTCTTGAAGGAATCAGGCTTTGTGTTTCCTTTTATTTAGCTCTGCTTCCTAAAAACAAAGCAGACAGATTTTTTTTTTCTTTCTTTCTTAGACAAGGTCTCGCTCTGTCACCTAGGCTGGAGTACAGTGGCATGGTCATAGCCCACTGTACCCTCAAACTCCTGGGCTCAAGCGATCCTCTAGCCTCAGTCTCCCTAGTAGCTAGGACTACAGGCCAGCACTACCACACCCAGGTAATTTAAAAAAAAGAAAGGTTTGCAGATTTGGGGTCTGGAACTCCTGGCCTCAAGCAGTCCTCCTGCGTTGGCCTCCCAAAGTGTTGGGATTGTAGACAGGAGCCACCGAACACCAAACAGATTTTTAAAGTGTAAAATGTCACTTTAAAAAGTGTAGTTTGGGTAGGTGCGGTGGCTTATGCCTGTAATCCCAACACTTTGGGAGGCCAAGGCTGGCAGATCACTTGAGGTTAGGAGTACAAGACCAGCCTAGCCAACATGGTGAAACCCTATGCCTACTAAAAATAAAAAAAAATTAGCTGGGCGTGGCCAGCTAATTGGGAGGGTGAGGCAGAAGAATCGCTTGAACCCGGGAGGTGGAGGTTGCAGTGAGCTGAGTTCACGTAACTGCCCTCCAGCCTGGGTGACAGAGCAAGACTCAGTCTCAAAAAAGATAATAATAATAAAAGTGTAGCCTGGCTGGGTGCAGTGGCCTATGCCTGTAATCCCAGCACTTTGAGAGGCTGAGGCAGGTGGATCACTTGAGTCCAGGAGTTCAAAACCAGCCTGGGCAACATGGTGAAACCCCATTGCTGCTAAAAATACAAAAATTAGCCGGGCGTGGTGGTACGTGCCTATAGTTCCAGCTACTCCGGAGGCTGAGGTGGGATGATTGCTTGAGCCCAGGAGGTAGAGGTTGCAGTGAGCTGAGATTACGCCACTGCGTTCCAGCCTATGCAACAGAGTGAGACCCCTGTCTCAATAAAATAAAATAAAATGAAGTGTAACTTTAATAATTTATTTTCCTTTAGATTTCTGAGTCAACTCTAAGTTGCCTAACATACGCAAGCACATTACTCAGAAATTACCTATACTGTCTCATTCCTTATGAATAGGTCTGGCCTGGTAACCACTCATCCCTTGTTAACAGGACTAGTACACTTTACTAACATCTTAACATGAGTGATCCTTGACAAATGATGATATAGACTTCTTAAAGATAAACTCAATTTATTTTTAATTGGGTATAATTCATTTAATAGTCACCATTTAAAAGTATATATTTCAGTGGTTTTTGTTGTAATCACTGTGTTGTGCAACCATCCCCACTGGGTACTTCTAGAACATTTCTATCACACTGAAAAGAAACCTAGAGTTCACTTCCCCTCACAAGCACTTTCTGTCTCTCTTTTCTGGATTTACCTGTTCTGCATATTTTATATAAATAGAATCATAAAATCTGTGACCTTTGTGGTTGGCTTCTTTCACTTAGCATCATGTTTTCAAGCTCACCCATGCATGTAGCGGCACTTCATGCCTCTTATGGCTGGCTGTATGATATTCCATTGTATGAGTATACATGGAGATAGCAACTTCTTTTTTTAAATCCTGTATTTCTTTCCTAAAGTATTAAATTATTCTAAATGCATGATTTTAAAGGTAGAAGTTTAACTTTTGGGTTCTTATAATGTATTATTAATAGCGGGTATTTTTGTTTGTTTGAGACGGAGTCTGGCTCTGTTGCCCAGGCTGGAGTGCAGTGGTGTGATCTCAGCTCACTGCAAGCTCCGCCTCCTGGGCTCAAGTGATTCTCCTGCCTCAGCCTCCCCAGTAGCTGGGATTACAGGTGTGCACTGCCATGCGTGGCTAATTTTTGTATTTTTAGTAGAGAGGGGATCTTACCATGTTGGCCAGGCTGATCTCGAACTCCTGACCTCTAGTGATCTACCTCCCTCGGCCTCCCAAATTGCTGGAATTATAGGTGTGAACCACTGTGCCTGGTATAGCCGGTGTTTTTTGAGTGCCTGTTATATTGCAGGCCTTGCCCTGACTCATTCCTCACATTAGCCCTGTAAGATAGATGCTATCATCATCCTCATTTTTCCAGATGAGAAAACTGAGGCATGAAGAGGTTAAATAGCTTGATCAAAATCACAGTTTATAAGTGCCCAAGCTAGAATTCAAGCCAAGGCAGTCTGGCTTCAAAAACTAAGCTATCCTTTGGAAATAACTTTGCTTTTGAACTTGTATATATGCCTTTCTCATATAGTCAGTTTCTTTCTTGTCATCCTTCCATCTCTCCCTTTCTCCCTGTATCCTCCTGCCTTGTTCCACAGAGATTTTCAGATGAATCAAAACTGGTTTCTAGGTTATTTGTATTTTTAGAATAAGGCACTCAGGAATTTTTTCCTTGGAGACCTGGAAATACAATCACGTAAAAGAGAATTTATTGGTTCACATTCCTGAGGTCTGGGATATAGCAGGCTGTAGTCTAGTTGAGATAGTGAGCCTCACACAGTGTTGCTAGGGCTCCCACTTTCTCTCTCCACCTCTCATTCTGTCTTTCTCTGCGTATTGATTTCTTTCTGCAGACAGCTTCCCTCCTACTGCCAGGGATGGTGGTGGGAAGCTTTAAGCTTATCTGGTCTTCGGCTTAACTGCCCAGTGGAAAGAGGCAGTTCTTCCTGAGAGCTCCAGCAGCCAAACTCCAGAGAGTGTTCGGATTAGCCTGGCTGGGGTCACTTGCTGATTCCAGAGCCATCACTGTGGCCTGGCAGATGGGGTACTCCAGCCAGCCTCTGACCAATCACATGGAGTCGGTTCTCCACAGGAAAAAGGTGTTCAACTTAAAGAGTAGGGATGTAGGTGCTGGAGAGGCAAAAAACCAGATGTCCCTAACTAAACTAGTCAAGACAACGTATACAGTTGTCAGCAGCACTCATATTCCTACCTTTGGCACTTTTACTTCAGTGAAAATGGTACAGTGTGATCTTTCTAATAGTACGGTTTTGAATTTACATTAAAAGTTATATAATGGGCCGGGCGCGGTGGCTCAAGCCTGTAATCCCAGCACTTTGGGAGGCCGAGACGGGCGGATCACGAGGTCAGGAGATCGAGACCATCCTGGCTAACCCGGTGAAACCCCGTCTCTACTAAAAAATACAGAAAACTAGCCGGGCGAGGTGGCGGGTGCCTGTAGTCCCAGCTACTCGGGAGGCTGAGGCAGGAGAAGGGCGTAAACCTGGGAGGCGGAGCTTGCAGTGAGCTGAGATCCGGCCACTGCACTCCAGCCTGGGCGACAGAGCGAGACTCCGTCTCAAAAAAAAAAAAACAAAAACCAAAAAGTTATATAATGATTCTAAGTTATTAAAGACAAGCTTTTTCAAGCTAGTTTTAGTGGACTGATTTATACAGAGTAGGAGATATCATACTGTGTCTTCTCAAATAACTTGTTAAAATTGCAAGAATCCCTTGGTTTACTTTGGTTTTAAAAAAGGAAAAATGATCTTTAATTCTGCCATCCAAAACATTATGGGTTTTGGCTTTTTAAACCTTTTTTATGCATACAAACACTTTAAAAAGTAGATACATAACCTTGAAAACTTTTCCTGCTGGTGATATTTTAGGTATATTTCTTTTCTCTTCTTTTTTTTTTTTTTTGAGACAACTTCTTGCTCTGTCACCCAAGCTGGAATGCAATGGCGTGATCTCAGCTCACTGCAGCCTTGACCTCCTGGGTTCAAGCGATCCTCCTACCTCAGTCTCTCCCAAGTAGCTGGGACCACAGGCATGTGCCACCACACCCAGTTAATTTTTATATTTCTTGTAGAGATGGGGTTTCACCCTGTTGCCCAACATAGTCTTAAACTCCTGGGCTAATGTAGTTTGCCTGCCTCAGGCTCCCAAAGTGCTGGGATTACAGGGTGTGAGTCATCATGCGCAGCCCGTTTCTTTTTTTAAAATTGAGATATATTTTACATACATAAAACAGTAGTTTTCAGTATATTCACATGGCTGTGTAACCATCACCACTATCTAATTCCACAACATTTTCATCACCTTCAAAAGAAGCACTCTCCCTGTGGGCAGTCCTTCCCCATTTGCCATGCCCCAGCCTTTGACAACCATGAATCTACTTTCTATCTGTATGGATATGCTTTGCCTATTCTAGATATTTTTTATATAAGTGGAGTAATGTACTGTGTGGCCTTTTGTGTCAGACTTCTTTCACTTAGCGTAAAGCTTTCAGGGTTCACCCATGTGGTAGCATGTATCAGTACTTCATTCCTTTTTATGACTGAATAATATTGTACTATATGGATATACCAAATTTTGTTTATCTTTTCATCTGTTGACGGACACTTGAGTTGCTTCCACTTTTTGGCTATTACGAATAATACTGCGATGAACATTTGTGTACAAATTCCACGTGAACATAGGTTTTCAGATCTCTTGGGTATTCGTTTGTTAGGGCTGCCATAACAAAATACCACAGACTATGTGGCTTAAACAACAGAAATTTATTCTCTCACAGTTCTGGAGGCTGGAAGTCCAAGATCAAGGTTTCAGCAGATTTGGTTTCTCCTGAGGCCTCTCTCTTTGGCATGCAGATGGCCACTGTCTCCTCATAAGGCCTCTTTGTGTGAGTATCCCTGGTGTTTCTTACTATGTCCAAATTTCCTCTTAAGGACACCACTCAGATTGGATTAAGGCTCACACTAATGGCCTCATTTTAACTTAATTACCTCTTTAAAGACTGTCTCCAAATAGCCACATTTTGAAGTACTAGTGATTAGGACTTCAACATAAGGATTTTGCGGGTGAAACAGTTCAGCCCTTATACCTAGAAGTGGAATTGCTAGGTCATGTGGTAACTATGTTTACCTTCTTGGGGAACAGCCAAACTATTTTCCAAAGTAGGTGCATCATATTTTATTCTCACCAGGAATATATGAGGTTTCTAATTTCTCCATGTCCTTGCCAAGGCTTATTATCATCCGTCTTTTTGAAGTGTGGTATCTCCTTGAGGTTTTGTTTTGGATTCCACTGGTGGCCAATAATGTTGAACATCTTTTCATGTGCTTATAGGCCATTTGTTTATCTTATTGGAGAAATATCAATCCTTTGCCCACTATTTAATTGGTTGTTTGTATTTTTGTTAAATTGTGAGAGTTCTTAATATATTCTGGATACTAGACCCTTATCAGATATATGATTTGCTAATATTTTCTCTCATCTTGTGGATTGTCCTTTCACTTGTGATGAAGTCCAGTTTTTCTTTTTTCTTCAGTTGCTTGTGTGTTAGGTGTCATATCTAAGAAAGTCTTGCCTAATCCAATAAGTATCTATACCCATGTTTTCATCAAAGAGTTTTATAATTTTTGCTTTTACACCACTTAGTCTGTTTCGAGCTTTCTTTTTTTTTTTTGAGACAGAGTCTCGCTCTGTCACCCAGGCACCCAGGCACCCAGGCTGGAGTGCAGTGGCACATCTTGACTCACTGCAACTTCTGCCTCCCAGCTTCACACCATTCTCCTGCCTCAGCCTCCCGAGTAGCTGGGACTACAAGGGCTACCACGATGCCTGGCTAATTTTTTGTATTTTTAGTAGAGACGAGGTTTTACCGTGTTAGCCAGGATGTTCTCGATCTCCTGACCTCGTGATCCGCCCACCTCAGCCTCCCATAGTGCTGGAATTACAGGCGTGAGCCACCGTGCCTGGCCTGCTAATTTTTTTTTATTGTATGAGGTAGTGGTCTAACTGCTTGCATGTGGATGACTAGTTGCTTTAGCACCGTTTTTTGAAAAGACTTCTTTTCCCATTGAATTGGCTTGGTACCACAATGAAAACAAAAGGACCACAAATACATAGGTTTATTTATGGACTTTAAATTCTATTCCATTGATCTATCCCCATCCTTATGCCACTCTCACACAGTCATGATTACTGTTGCTGTATAGTAAATTTTGAAAATGAGAAGTATGAGTCTTCCTATTTTGTTCTTTTTCAAGATTGTTTTGGCTGTTCTGGGTGTCTTGCATTTCCATATGAATATTAGGATCAGCTTGTCAATTTCCACACACACAAAAAAAAACCCAGCTGGGATTTTTACAGGGATTATATTGAATTTGTAGATTAATTTGGGGAATATTGCCATCTTAATATTAAGTTGTCCAGTCCATGAACATGAGATGTCCTTCCATTTCTTTAGGTCTTCAATTTCTTTAAATGATATTTTGTAGTTTTCAGCATATAAGTTTTTTGCTTCTTTTATTACATTTATCTCTAGATGTTTTATTATTTTTGGTGCTATTATAATTTAAATGGTTTTCTGAATTTTATTTTGTGGTGTTTATTGCTAGTACTCTGATTTACTTTTTAAAATTGTTCAAAAATACAATTAACCCTTGAATAACATGGTTTTGGACTGCTCAGGTTCACTTACAAATGGATTTTCTTCTGCCTCTGCCACCGCTCTTCTTCTTCCTCCTCCTAAGCCTACTCATTATGAAGATGAAGACCTTTATGGTGACACACTTCCACTTAATGAATATTAAATAATATTATCTCTTCCTTATGATGTTTTTTTAATAGAAACGGGTCTTGCTGGTTGGCCAGGTTGGTCTTAAACTCCTGACCTCAAGCAATCCTCCCACCTCGACCTTCCAAATGACTCTCCTGATAACATTTTCTTTTCTCTAGCTAACTTTATAAAAAATACAGTATATAAAACATATACAAAATATGTGTTAATTGACTGTTATCTGTAAGGCATCCAGTCATCATAGGCTATTAGTAGTTAAGCTTTCGGGGAGTTGATATGGTTTGGAGTTGGTATCTCATGTTGAAGTGTGATCTCCAGTGTTGGAGGTGGGCCTAGTGGGAGGTGTTTGAATCATGGGGTTGATTCCCCATGAATGGCTTGATGCTGTCTTTGTGGTAATAAGTGAGTTCTCATTCTATTAGTTCACACAAGATCTGATTGTTTAAAGAGCTTGGCACCTCCTCCTTTCTTTCTTGCGCCTTCTCTTGCCATGTGACATGCCAGGTCTCCTTTCCCTTCCACCGTGAGTGAAAACTTCTAAGGCCTCACCAGAAGCCTAGCAGATGCTGGTGCTGTGCTTGTACAGCCTGTAGAACCGTGAACCAAATAAACCTCTTTTCTTTGCAAATTACCCAATCTCAGGTATTCTTTTATAGCAATGCAAAATGGACTGACACAGAAGGTAAAAGTTATATTTGGATTTTCTGCTGTGCCCCTAACCTCTGTGTTGTTCAAAGGTTAACTATACATAAAACATAACATTTACCATAGTAGCCATCTTTAGATATACAACTTAGTAGTGTTAAGTAAATTCACGTTGTTTGTAACTGATCTCCAGAACTCCTCATCTTGCCTGATTTAATTTGAAAGATTTATATGGCCCCTTAACTATTTCACCTTTAATGCCATGCCTTTTAGTTTTCCTTTTCTTGCACCTATAGTTGTAATGTCCTGGTCACAGTAGGGGTTAGGGGATGTGGATAAAGTTATTTTATAATGTATGGAATATATTGATACTTTTTTTTCATACTTCTAAACTTTTGCATGTGCCTTGCAAACAAAAACTGATGGTGTTCTATTGGGGATATCACAGCTCAGTTTTTTTGATAACGTAGTCTGTTACTGAGTCAGTTCTATAGAAAGTCAACACTAAAGAGAGAGCTGGTTTATTGAAACACATAAGTTGCTGGAATTCTCTGAGGCTGTTACCTGTATTTTCAGCATGGCGGAGTGTGTGGTTGGATTTCTCATAAAGACCACAGTTAAATCAGAAAAAAAATTCTGCGTAGTATAGAGTGACAATGAGTAGTTTTTTGGCACTTTGACTTTGGTTTCTTGGTGCCTTACAACAGGTTTATCCAAGGTTGGAGAACTGCCTCAAACTCCAGTGTTCTCTATAGATGTGCTATAAATATGTTTTTTAGGGGGTAGAAGATACGAAGTTCACATTTGCTAAGATGGATTTCTATATGCTCTAATTTTAGCATGAAAGATGTGAAACTCTATTTGGCAAACTATTATCCAAATAAAGTTATGTCAAAAAATGAATTTCTTAGGTTCATTTCATGAACTAATTTTATTCAGCTCTTGATTACATTTCCTGTGTGTAGAGTATGTTTCACACTTGGTAACTGACTGTCATTTAAAGAGAATGAATGGCCAAATGAATGTCCTTTTGAGCATTTTTCAAGTGCATGCATTTCTGATTGGTTTTGTTTGCGTTATTCAATGGAGAGAATAATTCTTTGTGGCCAATTTCATTTTAAGAGGGCAAAGTTGAGTGATTTTTCATAATTTAAAATATGAATAATTATGCTCTCAAATTATGTATTTGATGGAAACTTAGAACTGAAATCTTCGCTTTTCTTTCTCTCTGCCTCTGCACACTGCTGCCCAGAATGTTTTGGACAGGTGTGCTGTGCTGAATTTCATGTAAATCAAATTTTCTTTTTTTAATTTTTAAAAATGACTATTGTATCTTTGTGAAGGAATGAAAATAATATGGATTAAGTTAAAAAGGGATTGTATTTTCCTTTGGTCATACTCATAAAGCAGTGCAAGAGAGAAGAAAACCCTCAAATGATACCATGTTTACACACGGCTGTACTAGTACTAATACACTCTTTTTTAAAGGCAGTTATGTGAAATTTAGTTAAATAGGAAGACATATTTGTTTAATGGTCATTTGACATTGCCTACAGTCAATTTTTGGAATGTTCATTAGGTTACAGTATATAGTTTAAATATTTTCCAGTTATCTAAACCTTTTATTTCTTCAGCGCAAATTTATATTTTAGGAAATGTGCTAACAGTGTCTTAAATGACATTAAAGGGTATTACACCGAGAATGGTTGGCAGCTCTCTGTCCATCTCCACAGAACAAGAAGAAAGAGGCTAGAGGCTTGGATTATTTTTGGTGAACATAAACATAATTTCTTAATATTAGGGGCATTAAGGCATAAATATTTACAGCTGATAATTATTAAAATAACAGTAACAGTACTTAACATTTTAGTACATGCTATGTAGCTGGCATTGTATTAAGTACTTTACATACATTATCTCATTGTTATCCAGTCCTATGTGGTAGAAATTATTACTTTTACCATTTTATGGATGAAGAAACTGAGGCTCAGAAAGGTTAAATAACTTACTAAGGATACCCAGTCAGTAAGCGAGAGACACACAGTTTGAAACCAGACCATCCGACTATGGAGCCTGTGCTGTTAGCCACAGTTAATGGGAAGAGGATAAACCAGTGCTGCCCTTACATTAAATACTCACCATGAGCGACCGATCAGTTACAGACAGTAATGGATAACTGAGTAGAAACACAAGCAAAGAAGTTGCCAGTATCATGATTCGGTTCAAGAAGTCGTAGTAAGTAAGGATGTGTCTCAGATTTTTTTCAGTTTTTTCACCAGGTTACAAATTCCCAAGAAGGACGATGTGATTCATATGTAAATTATGTGTAATAAAATAGTTGAAGTTCAAAATCCTATTGAGATAACAAAGAGGTTTCTATATTGTATGGAAAACTGAGAAATCAGCAACACAGACATTAAGACCTAGATACATAAATGGGGAAAACATATGGACAGACAGTACAAATACAGTTAAGAAATATAGAAAGTTCCGCCGTGTAAGTAATCAAATGCAGATTTAAGTCATAATGTGATACGAGTTTTTCCTAGTAAATTAGCAGAAATTTATAAAATGTTAATACCCAAAGGTGGTACTCTCATTCACTGCCAGTGGCTTTTTAAAATACTGTGTTAGCAAAACAAAATAATTCTATCAGTAAATAAATATTCCTCTTTCCTCACACTAATTTAGTAAATATGAAATCCATATGCTTTTCCTATTATATTGAAAAGCATATTTTATTAAGCTAGCCTGCATTAGACAAAAAAAAATTTGTAATTTGTAATTTGTATTATCTTTTTTTTTTGAGACATGGTCTGGCTGTAGCGCCCAGGCTGAAGTACAGTGGTGTGATCTTGGCTCGCTGCAGCCTCCGCCTCCTGGGCTCAAGCCGTCCTCCCACCTCAGCCTCCCTAGTAGCTGGGACCGCAGGCATGCATCACCATGCCTGGCTGATTTTTGTATTTTTTGTAGAGATGGGCTTTTGCCATGTTGCCCAGGCTGGTTTCAAATTCATTAGCTCAAGCAGTCTGCCTGCCTCAGCCTCCCAAAATGCTGGAATTACAGGTGTGAGCCACTGTGCCTGGTCTGTATTAAACACTTAAAAAAAATCACCTACAGAAGAAAATAAATGAACAGCTGTTGAGCAGAAATGTTGATTTAGTATTCTCCTTAAAATTATTAACCATGAGAGATGTATCTTAATTGCCAACCCATTGCAAGCTTAAATTGCATAATCATCTGTCAGTAACCTCATTGTTTATGTGTAACCTCCTGGTACATAGGAACATGTGTGTTTTATATATGAGTATTCTGTAGTTTTACTACTGGTTAAACATGGGAAAATCATTTATGTTTGTTATTTATTCACTGTTAAAAATTACCTGAAATTTTTGGAAATTATTCTTTATTTCAAAAAACTAAAGAATGATGAAATTTTTAAAATAAAGGTGTGATTTTTAGTTTTAAAATGTAGCTTCTATTTGTTTACTCTGTCGCTGTGACTGGGCAAATAACTCTGTAATTATTTTACAGGTATTCACAGTTTTATATGGAAGATAGCTTTTGCCATTATAATATGTTTAACCATCATTTCTTTGATGGAAAGGTAAGAGTTGTGACCATTATCTCATTGTTCTCTTATTGTGGAATAACAGATTTCAGAGTGCCTCCCTTGTTCTTTTGCTAAATTCCCTCAAGGTCAAATTGTGACTGTTCTACTATTTACTGGTATTTATTTTTGTTCTTTCACTGTTTATTGAGCACCTAGAGGTGATTTTATTATTCCCTTGTTAAGACTTCTCACTACTTTTTGGATGAAGGCCCATATTCTTAGAAGGCCCATGGGGCTCTGTGTGATCTGACCGCGATTTCCACTCTAGCCTCCCCTCTCCCTGTTTCCCCTTTGCTGTCTGTGCTCAGGGAACAGGGCTTTCATCTGGAACTGGTCAGACGCCTTTGCACCACAGGGAAGGCCCGTGCTGTTCCTGCCGGTTTCTGCTGTCTTTTGCCTTGATAACTTCCACTCATGTTTTAGAACTTTGTTCCAAATCACTTCTTCCAGCCTTCCCCGACCCTCACTCCCCAGAGGGTCAAGTTCTCCTTTGTAGACTTACCACACTGTAATTAAATGCATGTGTCAGGGCTGGGAGTGTACGGAAAATCTCTATTCCTTCCTCTCACTTTTTCTGCGAACCTCAGACTGCTCTAAAAACTAAAAGATCTTTAAAAATAAAAAAGGACAGCAGCTTAAAAAAAGCTTCTTTCAATATGAGGCTAATAATGTCACAGAATAAACAGCATAGTAGAGCTGATACATTTAGTTTGAGCTCTGTGTCAGGCCTATTATAAAATAAAATCTGTAACCAACCAAGTAATCACACTTGCCAGGACACTGGCCAAAAATATTGTGAAATTATCAAGACACTTTGAAGCATACCCATAAATATATGCATATATATCAATTTTGTAAAAATTGTGAACCATGCTTACTATGTATTGTGCTTTGAGATATTAACTAATGATAGGAGGATGAAAACCAAGCAAGACTTTATAAAAGTCAGCATTCAGGAAATGAAAACAAATGTTAAATTGTTGGTTGGGATTGAAAAATGAGTCCCCTGATTTAGTAAGTATAGCACTCCTTCCATTTGAATCAATTTAGCATTGGGATATATATTAATATTTTTCAGCTGTGAAGCCATCAAAGCAAGGTATTGAAATAAACAGCAGTTATAATTAGATGTATTTCAGCTGTTTCCCAAAGCGTTTATATGGTTGGTAATCACTAAGAATTGAGAACTGTTGAGGTGAATGTGAAGGCAGGTGGGAATTGAAAGTCACTTGCCAGTGGATGATGAGGGACTTCTCAGCTGGGACAGTGGCAGTGAGAAAAGGAGAAGAAAGAACTGGGTTGTCTAGGCATTCACAGAGGCAGTGAGAAGACTGTACTGAGGGAGAAGTCCAAGCTGACTTGGTGGAATGGCCTGGATTTGTATTTTTTCATCTAAACAGAGGGAAGTGAAGTTTGGAAAGGTTGAGTCTGTGGGGCTGGTAGGATATTGATGTGGCGGTATCCAGCCTACTTGAAACCACAGGACCTTGACGTCAGGTGAGGTCAGGGCTGTGTCGTAGTAAATGAGGAAGTAATCGAGTTTGAATCACTGCTTGATGCTACACTAGTGAGTTAGGATTTTCTTGTTGTTTGTCTGTTTTAATACCATACTATGGTTTTGCTTTTTATTTTGAACAATAAATACAAAATAAGGATAAAATTAAATACCTAAAGGTTGGCTAGCAATTTTTTATTTTTTTAAAGGGTAACAGGTAATTAGGGTTTTTCTTCGAAACTCTTTGTAGCTTATAGGAAGTGTACAGCATTACCTTATAAGTTTCTACAATAATGGTTGGAAGAAGCTGCCAAGATTGAGCTCCACTTTATCTTCCCTGAAGAAAAGAGTCGTCCAGCTCAGGCTTTTCTTACTCTATATTTCAGCAGCAACCTCTAAATAGCACTGCAGCTATAGAGATTGATCTGCAGAAACCCTTTGTTTTAATGATTTTACTATCTGCCTTTTTTCTACCTACTCCCAGAGTCAAGTTTTTCACTAGAGATTTACCATCCACTAACAATCACTAAGTATTTAAGTGTCCGCTCAGTGCCTGTGAGGCTGTCCAGGGTGCTTAGGAGAATAGAAGACTCTGCTAGTACACCTCAGCATTTTACAGTCCACTAGATTCAAAAGTGGGAGTTCCCCACATAGGATTTCTCATTGCAAATCATATAGTATTTAAAAAATGTCATCGGCCTTAATGGCAAAGTCAGTTAAAGTATGTAGAGAGGATGGCTAATTAAATTGCCGGGCACTTTTTAAATGATAACTGAGATAAAGAGTCAAATGACTGTGAACATTGGTGGTGTAAGCAAGTATCTGTTTCCTGTAGAAGATCAACATTAAGACAATCAGCAACTCGTGTTGGGCTATGATGCCATTGATTCTTACCTGGAAAAAAAATCCTTTAAAAATATTTTTAAAGTTAGGTTAGGAGCTAGACATCATTTACTTGTGTAATTTCTCTTTTCTACTTTTAACTCTAAGGAGTTTGAAGATTTCAATATCATCATCTGTGCTTTCAGTCCTTGTTCTTGTAAGCAGGTTAAGGAAGTGCCAGACAGCACTTGAAAAATGATTAACCTTCTTGACAAGTCATCCTCTGCTATAGGAGTTCCAGTAGGAAATTAATGAAGACTCTCCTAGGGAAAAAGGTTTTCCTCTTATCAGTGGGTCTTCTAAATTGATTTAGCAGTAGAACAAAATATATTTTATTATAAAGTACATATAGGCTTATTAAAGTTTAAAATGCCATTAAATTTTTAAATCTCATGTCACTTTGTATACTGTGTTGACTTATTTTTGTAGATGAGTACAGTCAGCTCTCCCCATTTGTGGGTTCTGCATCTGTGGATTCAACAAACTGCAGATCAGAAATGTTTAAGGAAAAAAAGAGGGTGATGGTGACTGTACTGAGCATGTACACTTTTTTCTTGTCATTATTCCCCAAACCATAGAGTCTAAGAACTGTTTATGTATCATTTACATTGTATTAGGTTATATAAGTAATCTAGAGATGATTAAAACTATATAGGAGGATGTGCATAGGTTAAGTACAATACTACAATATTTTATATCAGGGACTCCAGCACCTGCAGATTTTGGTATATGGGGGTGTCCTGGAACCAATCCCTCAGGGATACCAAGGGGACTGTACTTGAAAGCTATTTGCAAGTCAGTTGACTGGAGATACTGTTATATGGTATCTCTTAATAACTTCACCCATAGCAAAAACCGTTAAATATCCCTGTTAATGTTTACTTTGCAATTATTAAAAAAGCTTAAATTAACCTTTGGGAAAATGTGTTAATAGCATGGTTTCATGGACCAGATGTACTTTGTCATTTGTGAACTTTCATTTTTTATTTACTCACAGTGCATGTTCAGATATGTCTGCCTGATACTCAAAAACATGTGCATATTTAACTGGTAATTTGTAGCTGTTATTAAACGAACTCATGGCATTGGACAAGCCAGATAGGAAAACAATGTCTTCTTCGTCTTTGTGTCCCTAGTGCTTAGCACCATCCCGGCTTCTGTTTGTTGAATTGAATTTAACATTTTAGATGGTTTTCATGGGTAATGAGTTTCTTTTAGGACACTAAATTTAGCCTTTTAATTTAACCATTTGAAATGTGTAGTCTTCTGATAGTGATGGTGTTTGAATTTGCAATTTTAAAAACCTGCTTATCAAGGAACCCAAAGATAAAATCTTTTGGGGGCAAAGAGAGGCTCCATAATGTCACTGAGGGATGCTGCGGTGGCAAGATGACTCGGTGAAGTTTCCAGTATTAAGAGTGAGACTGAGTCTAATGCATTCTCCTCCAAATAGGATGAAGTGCCTCTCTCTAGTCCTAATTTAGAAATGAATTTTTATTTGTTCCAGACTGCCCTTGAAGTATGCAGAGCATTTTTACAGGAAGATAAAGGCGAAGGAATCATTATGGTGACGGATCCTCCGTTTGGTGGCTTGGTTGAACCTTTGGCTATTACATTCAGGAAGTTAATTGCTATGTGGAAAGAAGGTCAAAGCCAAGGTGTATAATTTATTACTGCAAAGTAAACATGTATCTATGTATCTACTTCCTGTCAAATATTAGCTGAGCTCAGTGAATCAGAGCATTGATAGAATATACATGTCTTGAGTTCTCTTTTTAAAAACAGGTTTATTTGATGTTGCAGCAAACTTCATTATCATGATATACTTTGTATTATTCTAATCATGTGGATTTTTTTTAATGGCTTATAGGAAAAATACTATGTTTTTGATGGGGATAATGGGATATTATGCAGAACAGCAGTGAACTGCTGTCATTCATTCAGTAAATATTTACTTAGTAGCCACTGTGTGCCAGGCACTGTTTAGGTACTGGGAATAGATTTTTGAACAAAGCTGACACATACCTCTGCCCTGTGGACCATACATTCCCTGTTCCTGAAGCCTGGCCCAGAACACTAAGAAGGCACTCAGCCTGAGGTCCAGGGCTCTACACTTTGCCAGGATATGAGTTTGGAGGTTAGACATCCCATAGACTGATTGTGGTTATCAGTACACAGATTCCCAGCCCTAGAGGTGGTCTAGTGGCTGGGGGTTATTATTCAGTTTAAAGTGACTTAGGGCTTCAAAGTATTTTATAAAATTATCTAATTAGTTGGTATATTCATTTTTTAGAAATATTTTCTAGCTCGCAAGTTGATAAATTTGTTAAGAGTGTCAGGAATTTTGTGATCATGCTTCACTAATAGTGCTTTGGGAGACAGAATGCAAATGAAATATAAAATGTGACTCATATTGTTAAGTATTTCACTTATTTGCTGTTTTTAAGTCCACTAATTAGAGTGGATAAAGTCAGTGTCATTGGGGAAGCAATAAAGAGCTTTGTGGGCTTGAATTCCTGTTCTGCCACTTATTAGCTGCATTGGACTTGATAGCTTATGGCTTCAGTTTCCCTATCTGTAAAATGGGATAATATCTAATTCTAGGGATTATTGTAAGGAGACAGTACATAGAAAGTACTTATTATAGCTTAGTGTAAGCACTATGATTAGGCTTGCCTCTGAATTAAGGCTTTTCAGCCTGTTGAAGTTTTAGCTGTAATAGTGCTGTAATAAGTACTAGCCTATACTAGGTGCTTTGTAAGTAATAGCTGTGTTCCCTGTCTCTCACAAACACTGATTTTGGGAAAACTGTTTTTAAGAATCTTCCGTGATGCAGTCAAGGTTGATTCATCCCTGAAAACTAAGATAAAGAGTTGTGGCAGAGCTGGAATTCACACCCAAGGCCTACTTACTGCTTTCTAGTCCAGAGGTCCTTCCACTACGTCATGACTACCTTTGTGCCTCAAAAGTGACACTCCTTTTCTATTTTCAACTTTTTAGGTAACATCTTTGCCTTACCTAGACAATAGTAATATACATATGGGTTACTTTTACATACTCTTAGTAGCTATATTTCAATATAAAGGAATATTTCCACTGACCTTTGGGAATAGTCAGGTTTGAAATGGCACTCTGGTAAACATTTTCTGTTTTTGTATGAGATTTAAATGTGTTGAATCATTGCAATTTCTCATGCTAGCAGAAGTTTTTCTATTGTAACCTTCTATTTTTTTCTTTAATTTACTATTATTTTTCCCTTCTTGTGATCCATTAGATGACAGTCACAAAGAACTACCCATTTTCTGGATTTTCCCCTATTTTTTTGAATCCCGAATTTGTCAGTTTTTTCCAAGCTTCCGGATGCTGGATTACCAGGTAGAGTACCGATTCTGTTTTCTCGCATGGTTGGGGAATGGAGATTCTACTTAAATAGGTATAAGACTATTCATTGATTTTAGTAAATTAAAATACAATGAGCTGTATTAAACACTAAAATTATACCATATGTAGTTCAGTCCAGTGGTTCCTGAAGGTCTGTAATCCCTAGAGTGCATGTCGAAAATACAGACTGAGTACCAAAATAAACCCACTAAATCAAAATTAGAGGACAAAGCCCCAAGAAAAAATATCTCACCAAGCTCCTTGGGTGATTCTCAGTGTGCTAGGTTTTAGAGCGGCTGATTTAATCTTTCATCATCACTAGGAGATTGTGCAGCCCCCCAGGTTCATCATTATGAATGTTGGTTTCCTCTGTTCAGAGGGTAGAGAAAAGTAAATCACCTTTCTAGTTGGTGAAATGCCATGCATACTTTACTGCGTCACTCTTGGGATGTCAGGAGTGTCGGAGAAGGCAGAGATGGTTCTGTGTGAATGTGTTGATTCTGGGAAGAAGCTACTGGAGTGAGTAGACCTCCTCCTTCACAGCGATGCCTGTGCAATTTTCCCCATGCCTGAAATGAGAATGAGGCTTGTGTCCACAGTGGCTCCACCTGGCCTTTTAAGTTCATTCTGCTTTAAACTCCACTTTCCTGTAATTTTTTCCCTTGTGTTTGAAGTTAACCCTGTTGTTGCCATCACCGTGTATGGTCTTCAGGCAGGTACTGCTTCCTTTTTTTTTTTTTTTTTTTTTTACAGAGTCTCACTCTGTCACCCAGGCTGGAGTGCAGTGGATGGGGCCATAATCCCGTCTCCACTGCAACCTCTGCCTCCCAGGTTCAAGTGATTCTTCTGCCTTAGCCTCCTGAGTAGCTGGGACTATAGGCATGTGCCAACATGCCCACCTAATTTTTTTTCCCTGTATTTTTAGTAGAGACAGGGTTTTGCCATGTTGGCCAGGCTGGTCTTGAACTCATGGCCTCAAGTGATCTGCCTGCCTCAGCCTCTTAAAGTGCTGGATTACAGGCATGAGCCATTGCACCCAGCCTGCTTCCTCTTTTTGTAAGAGTTTTCTATTTGAGTTTTCTGAATAATCGACTAGCCTCTGATTAAGGCAGAGTTTTAGCCATAAATGTCTTCACTTGCTGTTGCAAGCTGGCACTTGGTTCTAATCTTTCTAATCTTGAAGGTATATACCATTATGAAAATTATTTTAAAATTCTGAAAGAAACTGTTACCAAAAATGAGGGTAAAAGACTCTACCTGTGATTCCTCCCAAACAGCAGACACTATACTTTCAAAGTGTTCACTTTTAATCTTTTTTTAAAAGTACTTTTTACAGGTTTGTAATCATAGAAGGCAATTCTGAATTCTGCTTTCTTCACTATGTCTTATAAGTATACATTTTTAAACATAGCTACCCAATCTTTATGCTTTAATAACTAAATTATTTCATATGCAGGCTGTTTGTTATTCCCTTCTCTTTGGACTATAGGTTGTTTTTACCTTTTAAGGTACTATAAATAACACTACTATAAACACCTTTTATGCATATAGTTTTTTCATGTTTTATATAACTTGCTTAAAATAGATTTCCAAAACTGAGATTACTTTATCAAATATAATGGATTTTATTTTTATGGCTATTAAGTAGTATTAACAGGTTTTGTTCTAAAAGTGTGTAGCATAAGCTATTTTAAACTTGACTTCTTGAGCTCTGCTTTGGGCAAAATTTATATCGTAAGTTTTCTCAGAGCTCATTTAACTCCTTTTTGGAGCATCAGGTTTCCTGTTTCTTGTCTGAGGGATGCTTCTAATATAGACATTTGAAATGCAGAGATAGCCGACATATTCTAAAAATATTAACTGTGTAAACAGGTCCTAGTTTTCAGCAGCATCTACTGCCTTTGGTGTGGATAATTATCTAGTGCAATGTTTGGCACACAGTAGGTGCCATGTGTATGTCAAATGGATAATTGAGTGAAAAGGCATGAACCCTGGAGTCAAAAAGGATCTGAGTTTTAATCCTGGTGCTGGCACTTACTTAACCCCGCTGAAGCTTATCTTACCTGTTAAATGAGTATGGCAATAATATATAGCTGTCTCTTAAGGTCTTAAGGATTTTATGAAATAATGCATGGAAGCTTAGCGCCTGTTCCTTACACCTCACAGGCAAGTATTTAAGTTGTGGGTGTCTTGCGCTGTCCGGCGTTGCATGCACCGATCGGCTCACCTGTCCATTCAATGTGCTATATATAGTCCCAAGGTAAGGGGTAAACTCTTCCTCAGGTCCTTTTTGATACATCTGAGAAGATTAAAACTGCATAATTGTATAAGTTGGTGAAAAAGTAATTTTGCTCATTTAAAAAAAAAAAAAAGGCAAAACCGCAATTACTTTTGCACCAACCTAATAATTCGTGCCCTTTAGAAAACTGTTGCATCCAGTATTTAGAGAGGAGTGTTGTTTGTTTGTTTTTCCCCCACTATGGACAAGAGTTTGAAATGGTGAGAGGGCAAAAGAAGAAGATCCAGAATACAGCAGATGAGAGAGGCAACTTTGGAGTAACTGTCATTGTGTTAGGCAGTCTGTGGTTACTAGGAAAGACTTTGTGGAAATTTAGGGTTTCTGGTTTTGAGAAATAGTTTGCCAGGTCCAAGTGTGGACAATAATGTATATACTTCAGTGTATTGATGAAGAAAGGTCTTGATTTAGGTCATATGTGGTCTGACAGGCCAAAACGCAGTCTTCTCAATAAAAAGAAAGCCAAACCTTTGAAAGAAAAATGAGAATAAAATCTAAAACAAAGCAAATTTGTTTTTCCTGATTCCTGCTAAAGGGAAAGAACAGTACTGTGATTACATGCTCATGTTGGAGAAAACTGATTTTGCCATATCTCCTCATGTATTTATAAAGCATTATTTGATGTACGTTCTTGGACAATTTTTCTATTTTTGAAAATTTCTCTAGACCTATTACTCCTTTCTGAACATTTTGCTTTCCTCTTTTTCTTTTGTTACTTTAACTTCATTAAATTTTTTTTTTTGTGTTTTTTTGTTTTTTAGATGGAGTCTCGCTCTTGTCGCCCAGGCTGGAGTCAGTGGCAGATCTCGGCTCACTGCCAAGCTCCGCCTCCCGGGTTCCGCCATTCTCCTGGCCTCAGCCTCCCGAGTAGCTGGGATACAGGCGCCGCCACCACCGCCTGGCTAATTTTTTTGTTTTTTTTTTTTTTAGTAGAGCCGGGGTTTCACACATGTTACCAGGATGGTCTTGATCTCCTGACCTTGTGATCTTGCCCGCCTCGGCCTCCCAAAGTGCTGGGATTATAGGCGATGAGCAAAAAAAAATTCTTTTAAATAGAGATGGGGGTCTCTGTATGTTGCCCAGGCTGGTCTCGAACTCCTGGGCTCAAGCAATCCTTTCACCTCAGCCTCCCAAAGTGATGGGATTACAGGTGTGAGCCACCATGCCTGGCCTAACTTCATTTTGTGGTACTTTTTTTTCTTTTATATTAGCCTTCATTGAATGAAAACTTTGAGTCCTCTCTCCTCCTTCACAGATCTTTTCCCATAGACCTTGATTAGTTTTTTTTTTTTTTTTTTTTTTCGGGGGGTTTTTTTTTTTTTGCGGGGGGAACATCACCTGAGATGATTATAAGCCCTCAAACCACAATGCAGTAAAAATCCCCAAATCACGAAATCTATTTTTTTGGAAATACTTCCCAGGTAAGAGGAAGGCAGAAATGCTGCAAATCTTCATAAAACATAAATTATGTAGACTCTTCAGTGATCAAACACTTGATGAATACGGAATAAAACAGTCATCCACGACCTAGAAAACCAAGAGTTCTATTAACAACAGATTAGAAAGGAAGGACGTGATGATGAAAGGAAACTCTGATTTCGAGTCAGAAGTCTGAGTCCTGGCACTGCCTTTTAGAGGCTACTTAATCTTGGGAGAAGTCACTTTATCTCTCTAGGTTCTGTTTCCCTGCCTATAAAATAAAATGATTGAACTAGAAAAGACATGGCAGGTAAGTTTCTCTTTTGGTACTAAGCCTGATAAATTGTTAGTGATTTTCTGGAGAATTTGTTGAGAATACCAGGTTCAGTAGCAAAGAGTAATGTGATTAGTGGTGTCTGCCATGGGGGTGGGGTTAGGGAGTGGTGGTGTTCATGTCCTGAATTTTCTGTGTCTGAATTAGATGATCTCACCTCCTTTCCACCTGGGACATTCTGTTCTCTCTTGTCTGTACTTAATATGGGACACTTGTCTGGGGTGTTAAAAGTATAGCTCTTTGCTTTTGTCAAAGCTTTCCTTTTTTAAACATCAGCCTGTTAGGACACTGTGTTTTTCAAGATTAGTTTCACAGTCAGAAATGAAGATATTTTGGCAGCAATTTCTGGAAAATTATTGCAAATTAAAAGATGGCTACCAAAAGTCCTAAAATTTAATCTATAATAAACATAAAGCATGTAGTGGGTTTGAAGTAAAAAGGGGTATAAGATGTTCACATGTTACTTTTAAATAAGAGGTTATGGGATATGGGGATTACGATAGACTTTACTGCTGTGGTAGAAGCTGGTTGCTGGAGCAGAAGAAGGTACTGGGGACCTTTTGTGTGTGCTGAAATCCAGTAGAAGACAATCCTTAGGGAGTTACGGAAATGCAAGTACTCTGTCTTATTTAATCTTTCTTTCCTGACCTGATACCTGGAACATAGTAGGCACAAAATAAATGTTGACTTGGATGTCTTGGTCTCCATTTAACTAGTTTCAGTCTCATGTTACAGAAGACATTTGCGTATAGATAAAATTAAAAATTAGGAATTGCAGAGATTTTGTGCTTTCCCTCATTTCTATACAGTACTTCATCACATTAATCAGTTCCATGAGAGAAATTTTCTATTTGAAAATGCCTCTCATCATCATTGTGAGTGAAATGTCAGGGATAATGATGGGAAAATGGTGTATCAGCTCTACTACTAGTGATAGGCAATTTG